ACATTTTCTGGAAGATTTTTGGTTAATCAGAAATCTAGTTTTATGTCATAGGACAATGTTTGTCAGCCTTAGCTGTGAAGCATGAACATGTTAGTAATCTTAATCCACCTCAGGTATAGAAGATAAATGATAGTCAAGATGTAAAAGTTCCTAACCATCACTTGTTTTGCTGGCTTCTTAACTTTTCAGCAGTGCTTTGCCTTCTTGTAGGCTGGCATTTAACTTTTTTCGGTCCATTTTGTGCTTCTTTTCATCCTTTGGAAAGTTAGCATCTCATGACATTTAGATATGCCTAAAAATCATCTAGAAGATGATATTTGGAATGAAATTAAAGGAGTAATGGAAGTGAATAAGGAAGCACACAGTGTAACAAAGGATAACTCCCACTACATGACGCTTCACACTTGCAGGCTCTCGTCCCGCTAGGGGACTCTGCTGGAAAAGTAGCACAGTGAGCTGTAGGCCATCCAGGAGACTACTGGAGTCCTTGGAGGATAACTTCTTAAGCCAGGTAATAGACAGCCCTACCAGAGGGGATGCCATACTGGACTGATGGTCACCAACACAAGTGAGCTAGTCGGTGACATCAAGATTGGAGGCAGCCTGGGCTGCAGTGATCATGCGCTGGTGGTGCTCACAGCCCTGAGGAATATGGGTCAGGCAAAGAATAGAGTCAGGACCCTGAATTTTAGGAAACCAGACTTCCAGTCTTCAAGGAGTTAGTTAATAGGACCCCCTGGGAAACTGTCCTCGGGGACAAGGGAGCAGAAAAAAGCTGGCAGACCTTTAAGGACGCTTTCCATAAGAGTGCAAGAGCTCTCGATCCCCAGGTGTAAGAAACCAGGAAAGCAAGGCAAGGGGGCCAGCATGGCTAAGTCAAGACCTGCTGGTCAAACTAAAGGGCAAGAAGGAAATGCACAGGCAGTGGAAGCAGGGACAGGTATCCTGGGAAGAGTATAGGGACGCTGCCTGGTTATGTAGGGATGGAGTCAGGAAGGCCAAGGTGTGGCTGGAGCTGAACTTGGCAAGGGATGCAAAGAATGATAAGAAGGGCTTCTACAGGTATGTCAGTAAGGAAAGGAAGGTTAAAGAAAGTGTACCCTCCCCTGATGAGCAAGACTGGCAGGCTGGTAACAACAGACAAGGAGAAGGCTGAAGTTCTCAGCAATGTATTTGCCTCAGTCTTTACTGGCAACCTCTCTTCCCATACCTCTTGAGTGGATGGACCTCAAGACAGGGACTGGGGAAGCAAAGTCCCTCCCACTCTAAGACAAGGTCAGGTTCGTGACCGCCTGAGGAACCTGAACATACACATGTCTATGGGACCTGATGAGCTGCATCCCAGAGTCCTGAGGGAACTGGCTGATGTAGTTGCCAAAGCCACTCTCCATGATACTGAAAAAGTCATGGCAGTCAGGTGAAGTCCCTGGTGATTGGATAAAGGGAAACATTGCACCCATTTTTAAAAAGGGTAGAAAGGAGGATCCTGGGAAGTACCAACCTTCAGCTTCGCCTCTGTGCCTCAGAAGATCATGGAACAGAACCTCCTAGAAACTGCGCTAAGGCACACAGAGGAAAGGGAGGTTATTCGAGACAGCCAGCATGGCTTCACCAAGGGCAAGTCCTGCCTGCCCAGCCTAGTGGCCTTCTGTGATGGAGTGACTACATCCATAGACAAGGGAAGAACTATGGATGTTGTCTATCTGGACTTCTGTAAGGCCTTTGACATAGTCCCCCACAACACCCTTCTCTCTAAATTGGAGAGATATGGAGTTGATGGGTGGGCTGTTTGGTGGATGAGGAATTGGTTGGATGGTCGCATCCAGAGGGTAGTGATCAACAGCTCGACGACTAGATGGAGATCGGTGACAAGTGGTGTCCCTCAGGGGTCCTTACTGGGACCGGTGCTGTTTAATACCTTCATCAATGACATAGTGGGATTTAGTGCACCCTCAGCAAGTTTGCTGACGACACCAAGCTGAGTGATGCAGTTGACACACCCGAGGGATGGGATGCCATCCAGAGGGACCTGGACAGGCTTGAGAAGTGGACCTGTGTGAACCTCATAAGGTTCAACAAGGCCAGTGCAAGGGCCTGCAACTGGGTCGGAGCAATCCCTGGTATCAATACAGGCTGGGGGATGAGCGGATCAAGAGCAGCCCTGCAGAGAAGGACTTGGGGGTACTGGTGGATGAAAAGCTGGACATGAGCCAGCAATGTGTACAAGAAAGCCATCCTGAGCTGCATCAGAAGCAGCGTGGCCAGCAGGTCAAGAGAGGTGATTCTCCCCCTCTGTTCTGCACTGGTGAGGCCCCACCTGCAGTACTATGTTCAGCTCTGGAGTTCTCAGCACAAGAAAGACATGGACTTGTTGGAGTGGGTCCAGAGGAGAGCCATGATCAGGGGGCTGGAGCACCTCCCCTGTGAGGACAGGCTGAGAGTTTGGGTTGTTCAGCCTGGAGGAGGCTCCAGGGAGACCTTACAGTGGTCTTCCAGTACTTAAAGGGGGCCTATAAGAAAGAGGGGGGTAATCTTTTTAGCAGGGTCTGTTGCGATAGGACAAGGCGTAATGGTTTTAAACCAAAAGAGGGTAGATTTAGACTAGATATAAGGAAGAAATTTTTGACAATGAGGGTGGTGAAACACTGGCACAGGCTGCCCAGAGAGGTGGTAGAAGTCCCATCCCTGGAAACATTCAAGGTCAGGTTGGACGAGGCTCTGAGCAACCTGATCCAGCTAAAGATGTCCCTGCTCATGGCAGGGAATTGGACTAGATGGCCTTTAAAGGTCCCTTCCAACCCAAACTGTTCTACGATTCTATGATAAAGGATAGGTTATAAGAGCTGTAAAAGATGTACTTTTTGTCTCTTATGTTTAGCTTGTACAATCTGAAAATTCTCATGTTTGCCTTGCCTAAAGGAACACACCAAAATAGAGTCACAGTGGAAATAATAAAAACAACAGTAAGGCAGAGACGAAAACTTTCAAGGCACTAAAGAAATAAGTTGAAAGAGGCAGGAAAAAAGTTAAGAAAATTGAATGGGGAGGGGGCCATGTCTGCTTTAAATTCTTAGAGAAATACGGGTTTTTTCTTTACTATATTGTCATTTTTTCATTATTGCATTGTCTGAAGTATAACATCTTTGTTTTAAAATTCAGGAGGTGAGTTTTAGAACTTATGTTACTTATAGAAGCTATATTGTGAGGAAAGTTAAGAGAGAATGGAAAAATCTTTAAAGCACAGTAGGAACAAGAGGCCCATGAAAGAGACTTTACTGTACCTGATGGTTGGCAGGTAAAATGTATTGACAGGAGCACATTGCTTACAAGAGAGAACTTCCTGCCTTGTTCTCCATAAAAGGACAAAGATCTGAATTCTAGGAGTGAGTAAAAACTTCCCAAGGAAAAGGAAAGGAATCAAATATTTACTAAAACTAATAATCAAGAAACAAATTTATGGAAATAGGCCACTTTTCATATTCTGTGTGCCTGATATTTATGGATTATGCAAGAGGCAGCTGGACACAAGTGCTGACCCCCATCATTTGACTGTGGCAAGTTCCTTGCTACTCTAGCAGTGAAGGAATGAGTTTAAAAGCCTGCAAAATGCAATGTTGCACCCATCTCTGTGAGCAGAGAATCTGCCTGAATCTGGAAAAAGTTTTTATCTTCTGGCAGATAGAGCTGGTTTTGTAAATGCTGGTAATTATAGGTCCCCAGAGTACATAGTCCTGGTTAGTGTTTTGTTTATAATATGTGGACTGTTTCCTGAAGCCTTGAAAATGCACAGTTACAAAATATGACAATACATTTGTTTAAGCAAGGCTGATGAGTCTGGTGGCAAAAACTGCTCAGAATGGGAGTGCAGCAGCACAAGCATGCCAAGGGCCTCTCCTTGCTTAGGTGTGAAACAGCTGTCACAGCCACAAAACACTTGAAAGCCAGTGCATCTGGCAAATGCCCTTGAGAGACATGTTAGCCTTCACCCTATCATCCACACATTAAAGGAGATGTTTGTTGCAAGCTAAAGAACCCTCATCTTCTTAACCTATGTTCAGCAGTTAGGCAGAGACAGAGAAATGAGCTGTTCCACAAGCAGCAAAATTAATAAAGCCTGATCTTTCCTGATTTTCACCTAGGTCCCCACATAATTCTTTACAATAACCCCAGCCCTCTTCCATACCTACTCCACTCCCCAAAACTCCAGAGTAACACCAGCTTCCCCCTGTGTTGCCCTCCTCTCAGGCTGAGCAACAGCATTCTGCCTGTTCAGAGCAGAGGCTGGGTGTGTGCTGGCTGACCATAGCTCTCCGGCATAAACGGTAGTTATTATAAATACCTCTCCCTCTCCTCTACCTGACAGCCAGTGTTCCCTACTTTTTTAGAAACTCAGTTATGTTTAGTATTGCTACCTCTCTGCTGATTTGTTTCAAATTGGACAGCGGATTCACAAGTTACCAAGAAAGACAAAAACCTCCAGGGATCAAGTCTCATTTCCTTAGGAAACCAGGGTTTAAACAAACAATGATTAGACTGCAGCTTCTGCTGAGAGCTTCATGGGCTGAGCCAGTCAAAGTTACAAGTCTAAAAGAAATGCGTGCAGCATGATACTAAGTTTTATCAGCACGAATGCTATATAGGCTCCATATGCCATAGAAAAAAGCTACCTTAGAGGTATTTTTAGCAAAGGAAGCTAAGCTTGTAAAAAGTGGAACTTGCATATTTCACCTGCTACAGATTTTTCTTTTCTTTTCTTCCACAAAATTCCACGTCATCTGTTTCAGATGGATGCCTGGCTCGGAGTAAAGGATATGCAGTGCACAATCCCTAGCAGAAGCTGAAAATGGATGATGCCTACTGATGCTTTTCGACAATGTCATCTCCTCTTTTCCTGTTTGAGACAGGCGATATGATCATCAGGAAAAAGTTCTAAAATAAGCTCAAGTGACCTCTTCGTCCCTTGACTCCTCTTTCCACAAATCTAAAAACAATCAGAAAAAATGACCAGTCAACTACCAGAGGAGTCTGTGGAGACCCAGAGCTCAGATGAGCTTGAGTGCAAGATCTGTTACAACCGCTATAACCTGCGACAGAGAAAACCGAAAGTGCTGGAGTGTTGTCACAGAGTGTGTGCCAAATGCCTTTGCAAGATCATAGACTTCGGTGATTCGCCGCAAGGAGTCATAGTATGCCCATTTTGCAGGTTTGAAACATGCCTGCCAGACGATGAGGTTAGTAGTCTTCCTGATGACAACAACATCCTTCTGAATTTAGCTTGTGGGGGAAAGGGAAAGAAGTGCCTACCAGACAACCCAACAGAACTGTTGCTGACTCCCAAAAGGTTGGCATCTCTGGTTAGTCCTTCTCACACCTCTTCTAATTGCCTGGTTATAACAATCATGGAAGTACAAAGAGAAAGTCCCCAGACTCTGAACTCAACCCCTGTGGTGGAATTTTACAGGCCTACTAGTTTTGACTCTGTTGCAACTGTGTCCCACAACTGGACAGTATGGAACTGCACATCTTTGCTCTTCCAGACCTCAATTCGGGTGCTAGTGTGGTTGCTAGGGCTGCTGTACTTTAGTTCCTTGCCTTTAGGGATTTATTTACTGGTATCTAAGAAAGTCACCCTTGGGGTTGTCTTTGTAAGCCTTGTTCCTTCGAGCCTTGTTATTCTCATGGTTTATGGCTTTTGCCAGTGCGTTTGCCATGAAGTTCTAGACTGCATGTCATCTTGATAACAAATACAGTAAAATAAGATGTATTGCCACATGTGTAGCATAGTTGTTTTATCCTGTCTTTGTATTCTTACTTATTCTTATTGTTGTCTATCGGACTAAATGGAAGCAGTGGCCCTAGTTATATATGTGGTCCTTTTTTTTCTACTTGGTTTGACATCCCGCCCCCTCCTTTTTTTAAGCTAAATGATGGAAATAAAATCTACATGCCGATTTTAAAAGGCCGAGTTGTAAAAAGGGATAAAGCAAAACTGTGAAACTTGGTGCCTCCTGCTGCTGCCACTTTTCAAATGAGTAGCCCTTTGCTTTCTGTTGGCTTGATCATGCCAGTCAAGGCTGCAGGATCCACCCTAGAAGAAATTAGTATAGCAGGCACCTTCCAGGTCAGAGTGCAGCATCTCTTCATCCAAAGCATCTCATGCTTTGCAATATCTGTTATTTATCATCCATTATCATTACAGCAAATGAAATCACTTAGTTAATATTATAAGAAGAATAAGACAAGCCACTGTTGCTTTTTTCAGTTCTTGTTATAGCAAAAATATTTGTGGGAGGCAATGTTACAGATTTCTTGCATTCTGCAACATGAAGAATCATTTTTTCATCATGGTAAAAACACATCTCCGAGGCATTTTCCCCAAACAGAAGCCCACTTCACTTGTCTTATAGTTGGCAGCTCCCTCTGAGATGCTCCTGCCGAGTACTTCCAGGGACCCAGCCACACATTTGCTCTTCTCTAGGTGCACTTATTTCAGTGTGCATACACCTTAGACTTCCCTTCGAGGGTTCAGAGCTGTGCAGACTTCTCTAGCTAAGGTCTGTTATGCTTACCCTCCCTCCCAGCATTTCCACCATCACACCACATTTCCAACCCATTAGTCCTCCTAACAAATTGCCTGACCAACTTCATGCACATTTACTCTGTGGTAGCTACACTGGAGAATTTGGCTTATGTGGCTTTAGCTATTAAGACAGACTTTTATTCCCGACATCATGAAATGGACCTTCAATCACTAATACAAATTTCAGAAAAAATCCGAACCAGTTAACTGGGGTTTTCTTTGTTTTCTGCGTTCACAGAATGAGCATTGTAAGGAAGTACTATGACTTTGGGAGGGTTTCTGTTTAATGCATAGTCCTTCAAAATGTTTAATACCCTGAACTCTGTCACCGTTATGAGTTGATGGCACTCTAGATGTGGCAATTAGCATGTCTTGATTAGTTGAGTTCAGAGGAATTACTGATGATTTCCCATTCCACAAATAGAATCAGGGCCTGTAAGGCTTGCTTGTAAGTTGCATGGTTTAGGCTACTTTTTGAACTACTGGAAGTGCACAAAAAATAAGAAATATTTAATGTTTCTGTGTATAACTAAGTCTACTCAACACCACAGCTGCAAAGTCGTTTTCCTGTGCACAGCAGAGTAAAAACTGAGAAGGAGTTGAGCAGTGCAAGCATGGTTTTTGGGTCAGACACAAGATTTAGTAATTTCAAGGCAGTGTAAGAGGGAGAGGCGTTTGTTTCGTGAAGACTGAATGTACGGCCTAACAATATATTCTTAGAGCAAACTGACTTTGGTAAGAATGAAAAATACCGATGGGAAATGCAGAGTGTAAGTGGTTGTTGTGTCTGTTGAGATGATTTGAAGCCAAGCTGGTCCAATTCTTGTAGATGGCACAGGTGGTATCTACAGTTTCTTTCCTATTGCAAACATAGGGGAAAATGTGGAAATGTAAAGGTCCTGCTTTTCTTGACACTCATTTTATAATAGTGCATCTATATGTGTGTGTATGTACATATAGACACATATGTAAGAAGAAAACTTCTAGCGAAATTATAGTTTTCAAGTGTATGGAGTTATGGAGCTATGTACTGAATGATTAAAGGAAATGTTTCAGACTTTTCTGTAATGACTTGATAATGGTTATAACTAAAATATTTTCAAAATTCATAGAAATGACTGTTCCTAAGTAATTGTTTTTAATGTTTGTGGCAAAGCACATCTAGTTAGAAGAGGTATCATCTCCAGTTCTGGTATACTGCAAGGTTGGACTTATCTACGAATTCATAAATTTTAAGTATCCAAGAACAATCATGTTAAAAAGCAAGAAAAATAGAAACCTATGTGGTTTTATAGTACTACATAACTTTGGGAAAAGATGTATTTGTAACATTAGGGATTTCTATGTTTTAGAATTTGTTCAATTTGTCTGAAAATAGTGTCTCTAATAAAGGGCTGGCTAATAGAGGAAGTAGGTTTTGCAAATGTGTGACATATATGTATTTCCTCTGCACAACATGTCTACAGTGCTACCTGTTGTCTTTTCCATTTGATTTTCAGTTGATTATCTTAGCTCCAGCACCAGGTATTTTGTACTCTATTTTAAAACAGAGTGTAATCTCAGCAGGATTACAGTGGTATCAGTTACACATCACAGCACAAAGAAATACACCTGTTATTACACTTCACTACTTTTAAGACTGCCAGACCATTAAATTTATGCTGTTATTTTAGAATGTGCTGCAATACTAATCCACTCAAAAATGTGAGCATGCAAAACCATATTGATTGTATAGCTATTCTGCCGCTCGGCCAGGGCACATTATTACAGCTTTGGTCTCATAAAATTGCTATATGACTTATAATATGGCCATTGAGAATTGCTAGGAGGTCTAAATCTCAATTATTTGTGGAGAAGATATTTGCTGTGTGACTGAGACTAGGAGAACTTCATATATTACTCTTTCATTATTTTTATTCTCCACCATCCTTAAGACTTAGAAATGAAAACTCTTTTAGCCTCTGCAGAGGAATAACTCTGCTGAAGTCACTGTAAATGGGGCTAGAATCAAGTCCTGCATGCCTACCTGCCTGCATTTCCTTCCCTTTCTCTGACGTTTTTCTCTCCTTGGAGACTAATGGCTCCCATGGTGGTAAAATACTGCCCGCACACCAAGACAATTCCCTTTCAGTAGGATTTTATTCCTGCTTTGCCCAGACATGTGACTCAAGCGGGTACAAAGTGTTATAGATTCATACAAGATTAATTTAGTCCAAATAAGATTTTGTTTGGTTGGTTTAATTCTTGCTTATCCTGTGGATGGGGACTGTACCCTTACTGGCTGCTCGTTTAGAGTATGATATACGGGCATCCTCTGAGGGCTGGGGCAGGAAAATGCAGCAGTAGTTGCTGGGCACATCAGGCAGGATGCGCTGAGCAGGACCCAGTGATGGATGGAGCTCCGCAAGCGTGGCCTGAGCCCAGAGCCTAAAGGGCAATGAACAGAGAGTGGGTTACGTGGAAAGCAGGACCCGTGGGATCATAAACAGGACATGGGGCCTTGGGGCTAGGAGTGGCTGTGGCTGCGAAGCCATATGAAGCAGAGAGAAGTCTATGCCTGGGACAAAGGGGCTGTGTTTTAAATAAGGAGTTTGGGGTAGAGCTGCTGCAAATGGATTTTAATGGTTTTCATACTGACCCTTCTGGGCTTTAAAACTCATTTGGTAATTAAAAGTCATTTGCTACTGCTACTACAGTTGAGTATTTTTACTTTCCAAGTGGCAAAATATTGAACCTTATAATTTAAAGAGCTCCTTAGATTTGGGCATACTCCCTCTATTACGTTAACTATTTGAAGCTGCAATCTTTCAAACATGACTGACCAAAATAAGGGCTGATGTCTTTGCTTTAACTGCATTACAAGCTTTGTCCTACTATATTGATTATATGCCTGCAAAACTGTATATGCTAATATAAATCACTTAAAATAGCTGAACTCTTATCCTGATAATACTATTGGCAAACTTCAGGGTTGCCAGCATTTTACAATGTGTCCAAGAATAGACGCTCTATCTTCCCAATGGGCTTTATTACTTGAAGATACAGATGAGTCCAGCAGCACACAGCCAAACAGGCAAGTACAGCACAGGAAAACACACAGCTTTCCAGATAAATGGCTACACATCACTTCAACCAGAGGAAAGGGAACTGAGGAGGTTCACAGGAAGGTGGATGTTTTTGTATTTCAGGGAGTTCCTTGCTATTAGGGCGCAGAACCATTGTTGTTACTAATTCTAACCATTTGCAGGGTTAGATTCAACTCACTTTTACCCATTACATTTCTGCCCACCCGGCTGGGACAAGGCTATGTGGGACTGTAGGTAAACAGTATTTTGAAATGAAACAACCTTTCTACTACATTGAGTTTGCAGCTCAGTCCAGCACAACAAGATTAATACTGAAAAGATGGCAAACTGCAGGATGCGAGAGTGAACAGGGTGTGGAGGGGAAATGGCAGCTGGTTGTTATAACAGTTTTGATGTCAAAGCAAGGAAAACATGGCTACATCCTGCCTTGCCTTGGCTGGTTCAAAACTAGTGAGAGGCTGTCCCAAGCCTGATGTCCACTGTGATTCGACACCCTCCCTTGCATCACCTCTGTTCACTTCAGTTGTGCATCTTGATTTCTTGTACAGTAGTTGTCTGTCATGATTTCATCTTCCTGCATGGATGATGGGTGTAGTGAGAGGTCCACAGTGTTCCACTCTTAAACAGGCACATTTTGACTATCCTAAGGTTTCTTCATTGTTTTTTTTCTGGTTTTCTTCATATTTCTACAAAAGCAAGACAGTGCACTTTATTTTAAATAGAACAGTGCCTTCAAAGACAAAAAAAAAAAAAAAGGAGGGGGAAGAACTGCGAATTATGCAATAATGGTAAGAGACTGTTCTGAGAGGCTACTTTTACTTTCATACTAGCAGATTAGATGTTATCCTTTGAGTGACATCAGTAAATATTTAGGGCTGGAGATTCCTCAGGGAGTTGATAAGTCTGTCAGACCTTAGGCACAAACCCCATACTCGGCTGCTTTTCTGTAAAGCACCATTCTGCCGTTTGCATCAGCTCCCCTTGTCAAAAGTTGAACCATCACAGTTTATAAAGAGTTCTGGCACAGGGAATAAATCCCCAGTCTGGGGATGGTAAATCATCTTTTTAGAGATGTGTGGCAGTAGCAAAGCTTTCAGTGCTAGACCTGGAACAAAGAGAAGTCATCCTGCAGTCTGAATAGCTAGCATAAATTTAATTTTAAATCAAGTTTCATTGTGTTGGGCAACACTACAACTAAAAATCCTTTTATTGTATTTCTGCCTCTTGTGTTATACAAATGTGGTTTGCATTTTTTAAAAAAACGTATTAAACCATAGAAATCAGAGACGGGTAGAAAAAAGCCTAATAAGTTGTTTTATCCACTTCCTCTTCCCCTGTAGAGACAGATGCTTTGTCTAGTCTGGTTTTAAATATCTTAAGTGATGAAGCCTGCGCCTTTTCCTATGAGGGACTTTTCAGTCATTTAATAGGCATCTTTGTTAGGAAATATTTTCTTCATACTGATCCTGATTTTTTCTTTTGCATAATGTAATCCCTTTATTCTGCACCCACTC